CTACTGGGGATGTGCCCGCAACCAAGGTACATGCCCTTGACCGGAATCGAACCTGGGACTCTTCAGTCCACAGGCCAACGCTCTAGCCACTGAGCCAAACTGGTCAGGGCTGCACAATTCCTTTTACAACCAGCCGTTCCACTCACAGGAATCTGTCTCACTAAAGCATTTGGCAAGTGCACAGAGATACATGTGAATAAGGCTGTTACTACGCACGCGCCCCCCCCCGCCCCCTTTTACTATAGGTAACTGGTGGCACAGAAATGAAAGTGACAAGGTCCCGGAACAGTTGCTCGGTACAGTTACAGATCAGAAGGCAAATTCTTTAAAAGCCAGTTATGGTCATTTGTTCCTCTCAAGGCTCATTTACAAAGCCTGGCTTCAGTTCAAATGTCTCCTCCTCAGAGCAGTCTTTCCTCACTGCGGCCTTACCCAACGCAACCCCACTCATTGCAATCTATGATTGTCACCTTATTTGTGTTCTTTTTAAAAAAATATACATATTTGAAAATACATTTTTCGTAATTTTAGAGATGAAGGGAGGGGGAAAGATAGAAACATCAATGATGGGAAAGAATCACCGATCAGCTGCCTCCTGCATGCCCCACAGTGGGGTTGAGCCCGCAACCCAGGCTTATACCCTGACCGGGAATTGAACCTTGATCTCTGGGTTCATAGGTCAAGACTCAACCACTGAGCCATGCCAGCTGGGCCTATTTATTTTCTTCATAGTATTTAGAATCAGCAAATATCTGGCTTATTTCTTCGCTGATTGATAATTGTTTTCCCTCAGTAGAAGGTAAGATTCAAGAGGGAAGGGGAACAGCCTTGGCCAGTGTGGCTCAGCTGGTTGAAGTGTTGTCCAGTACACCAGAAGGTGGCGGGCTAGATTCCCCGTCAGGGCACATAGCCAGGTTGTGTGTTTGATCCCTTGTTTGGGTTCGTGCAGGAGGCAGCCTATCAATGCTTTTCTCTCTCATCTCTCTCATCTCCCTCTTCTCTCTCTCTCTCTTTCCCTTCCTGTCCCCAGCTTTAGTAAACATGCTCTAAAATTCACCTGAACTATTTTTCTGCATGAAGTCAAGAACCCACACACTACCAACTGGTCCTAAGCCGACCCCCTAAGGGCCAGGCCCCTCTTTTGGTAACAATATGTGGGAAATATAACTGAAACTTGTGCACACAAACAACAGTGTGGTGGTTGCAGAGGGAAGTTGGTGAGTGGGGAGTTGAAGGGAGCCTAATATATGGTGATGGAAGATTTACTTTGGGTGGTGTACGGGCAGTGCAATATATACAGATCTTGTATCATAGAAATCTACACCTGAAACCTATATGCTCCTATTAACCAATGTCACCCCATACATTTAATTAAAAAAAAAAAAGACTCAGGAAGAATTATTGACCTTCCCCCCAAAAAATATCTAAAAGCATTTGAGATAGAAGGTGTAGCCGGTCAAGTGGAATGAAGTTAACTAGAAGAGGACGTTCTGCCAAGAAAAGGCGGGGGCCTGCAAGCGGGCCACGTCAGAACAAAGTCTGGCACGCAAGATTTATTGTTCTGAGGCAGAGTTTCCTTGGGTCCATGAGGGCATGGAAAGTTCAAGGGAGAGTATACAGCTGCAGGTTGAAAGGGTCTTTGTATAATATAGGAAATTAATAGTTTAATGTATAACTTAGCTCAGATGATCTCATAGGCATGCCTGTTTACCATTGTCACTTGCTGTACTCCATTGTTACTTGCTGTACTCCCCAAATAAAAGCCATGAGAGCCTTGGAGGTTTTGCTACACGCCTGAGCGAGCGGTAGCCCTCTGCTTCTCTTAGCTCAATCCTGCTTGCCGAACTCAGCGTCACCGTTCACCTGCAGACCACCTGCAGAAGGCCTGTCCCAAGAAGAACTACCACCATAGATGACCACAGTACAACATGAACTAGCATGGTAGACAGGGAGGAACCTAGCAGGCCCCTTTGGATCAAAGTCCTCTCTCTGACCCGTTGTCTCTAGATGGCCCAGCAAACATTTGTTTACTAAACAGTAACTCTTTTCAACTCACTGTGAATTGCCCCATTTCCCTTTCAACTCCCAGACTGTTACCTCCTCCTTAATCCAGAATGACATACACACCTTATTTTGCTTTACTGTTTTAGAATTTTCATGCTTATGTGAATTTCCTGCGCATATATATATTTTTTTCTGTGCGTATATATTAAAACATGATTTTCTCCTGTCATTTTAATTATTCAACTAGCCATAAGGAACAACATGGGGTTCCAGCCGGTGTGGCTCGGTGGTTGAGCATTGACCTATGAGCCAGGAGGTCATGGTTCGATTCCTGGTCAAGGCACACGCCCAAGTTGCAGGCTTGATCCCCAGTGTGGGGCGTGCTGGAGGCAGCCAATCAATGATTCTCTCTCATCATTGACATTTCTATCTGTCTCTCCCTCTCCCTTCCTCTCTGAAATCAATAAAAAATGTAGATTAAAAAAAAAAAAAGAGGGAAGGGACCAGTTCTGTCTTATTCATCATTTTGTGTGAAGAGAGCCTGGCCACACTGTGGGAATCTACCACAGTTTGTTTATTCATACTCTTACTGATCAATACATTGATGCTTCCACTTTGGGGCTATATGACTAAAGCTGCTAAACATTTTCTAGGGAAAAAACAGAGCCTGGCAAATACTTAGACAGGCACGCCACATTACTTGTGGAAGGAGTGAACAACTGACAGGCTACTGTGAGGATTTGGTGAGTTAATGAATATCAAGCTCATAGCATAAAAGCTCAAGCAGCATTACACATGGAGGTCTAAGTAAAAGGTCACATATTAATTTAATGGCATACTGATCAGTATTTAAGAGAAATTAAATAGAAAAACTAAATATGGACAGACTATCGACATGGACAGACTACCAAACACTACTGATTGGAAAATGCACGTTTCAGAATAATATGCATTAAAAAAAATGGGGGAAACTGAGTGAAAAGTATATGGCACCTCCCTGTACATATTTTTGCAACTGTTTGTAAATCTATAATTATTTCAAATAAATAGCTTTTTAAAAAATAATATGTACAGTTTAATGTCATTTATTTGAAAGCATAATGACAAACACAGAGCAATATGAATGCTAAAGTCCTTTAAGATCTGAAAAGATACACCCCAAGTTCAAAACAATAATTTTCTTTGCAGGGGTGGGGGGCAGAAGAAGCAGCAGGGATTATAAGTAGTGGTCAAAAGAGATTTAGCTTTATCTATAATATTCTAGTTTTAAAGGAAAATGTATTCTTACCTTACTTGTGTAATTTAATAAATTTTTAACTTGCAAATAAACCTATAGCAGATGATCAGAAACCCATATTTATGCACACTACATCAAATTTATTTTGATAACAAAGGTGAATTAGGAGGATGAATAAGATTAACATTTGAGCCAGTTACATATGAAGGCTTT